GTCCGGTCACTATACCGGACACGTCCGATCACTCTGTGACCAGCACGACTAACTCCTTGTCAGCTTTATCTTCTTCACCCTTGCTCAAATGTGCTAACCACCAAGTGTATCACCTTGTGCACATGTGTTAGCATATTTTCACAAACATTTTCAAGGGTGTTAGCACTCCACTATCCTAAATGCATATGCAATGACTTAGAGCATCTAGTGGCACTTTGATAACCGCATTTCGATACGAGTTTCACCCCTCTTAATAGTACGGCTATCGAACCTAAATGTGATCACACTCGCTAAGTGTCTTGATCACCGAAACAAAATGGCTCATACAACTTATACCTTTGCCTTGAGCCTTTTGTTTTTCTCTTTCTTCTTTTCAAGTCCAAGCACTTTATCACTTGGAGTAGTGCTACCTATCTCATAATCACTTTGATAAACTAAGTTAGCACTTAGGGTTTCATCAATTAACCAAAACCAAACTAGAGCTTTCACGTAGCCCACGATGAACGCAATGTCCGGCCTCGTGTGGACTAGGTAGCGCAGACCGTCAATGATGCTCCGGTAGAGTGTTGCATCCACCTTCGCCGCGATGCTGGCCTTCGTCAGCTTCAGCCGCTCCTCCATCAGAGTTACGCATGGCTTGCACTCAGCCATGTCACTCCGCTCCAACAGCTTGGAGGCATACGCGCTCTGACCGAGCGTGAGTTCCTCCTTCCCCTGTCTCACCTCGATGCCGAGGTAGTAGGAGAGTGCGCCGAGATCGCTCATTCGAAAACGAGCCGCCATCACGCGCTTGAAGTTGTTGATGTCCTTCGTGCGCGCGCCGGTGATGATCAAGTCGTCCACATACACGCCGACGACGACCTTCTCTTTCCCCCGTCGACGCGTGTAGAGCACGTGCTCAGTTGCGCACCGTTGAAACCCAAGCTCGCCCAGCGTGGCGTCAAGCTTGGCGTTCCATGCTCATGGGGCCTACCGCAGCCCGTAGAGCGCCTTGCGCAGTCAGAGCACCCTGTGCTCCTCTCCCTTGACGGTGAAACCTAGAGGTTGCCTGACGAAGACCGTCTCCGCCAGCTCGCCGTTGAGGAAGGCCGATTTAACGTCCAAGTGATGGACGCGCCAGTCTTTTGCTGCTGCCAAGGCTAGTAGCAAACGGACCGACTCCATGCGCGCTACTGGCGCAAAGACTTCCTCGAAGTCGATGCCCTCGCGCTGAACAAAACCTCGGGCGACGAGGCGCGCCTTGTGCTTGACAATGGCGCCGAGCTCGTCCCACTTGACCTTGTACACCCACTTTAGGCTGATCGGACGACATCCTGGAGGTGGATCGACGAGTTGCCATGTCTCGTTTTCCTCGATCGCCTTCATCTCCTCCAGCATCGCCCGTCGCCAGTTTCCGTCCCGCTCGGCCAGCGCGAACGTGGGTGGTTCCTCTGCACTGACGAGCAGCAGCTCTGCGTCATTGAGCAGCCGACCAGCCAGTCCTGAGGGTCTTATGTCGCCAACGATGTCGTCCATCTTGCGGAACCGCACCTCCTCACCTTCGTGGAAGGCATCCATGAACTCAGTTATGTCACTTGGAGGTGAGGCGAACTCGATCGACGTCGATGGAGTTCTCTATTCCGCCAGAGTGCTCGGCATAGCACCTTGAGTGCTTGGCACCCTGGTTGCAGTGCTCGGTACTACTTCTGGACAGCTCGTCATTACTCCTGTAGTGTTCGACCACACTGTAGGAGTGCTCAGCCTCAGTCTTGGAGTGGTCGGCACCACTGCAAGACCTCTTGGCTCCGCCATGGGAGTACTCGGCACCCGTCCTGCAGTGGTCGCCACCACTGCAGAACCTTCCGGCATCACTCCTGGCGTGCTCGGCATCCCTCCAGGAGTGCTCGGCATCCCTCTCAAAGTGCTCAGCACTGCCCTAGAAGTGCTCGGCACTCCTCCCAGAGTGCTCGACACCTCTTCCCCAGCGTCTCCACCACCGTGGATGACCAAGTGCTCGATGACGAAGGTGCTGGTGAAGCCACCAGCTTCCCCCGTGCTCAGACTGCTCCAGTCCCAAGCCGCCTTCTCGTCGAACACGACGTCGCGCGAGATAAGTACCTTGTCTCCGCGTGGGTCGTAGAGACGGTACACCTTGGTACCCTCCGCGTAGCCCAGGAACACCATCGGTGTGCTCCTGTCCTCCAGCTTGGTGAGGTTCGACTTCGTCTTCCTGACGTAGCCGATGCAGCCGAATGTCCGAAGGAACGACACGCTCAGCTTGCGCCCATACCAAGCTTCAAACGGCGTCTTGGCCGTTAGGGCCTTGGTCGGAGAGCGGTTGAGGATGAACACCGTCGTCGTCACCGCCTCACCCTAGAACCTTGTCAGCATGCCTTTGGCCTTCATCATGGATCGAGCCATGCAAACACCGTCTGGTTTCGCCTCTCCAACACGCCATTCTGTTGTGGCGAGTACGGCGCGGTGTGGTGTCGCACCACACCCTGATCCGCGCAGTACGTAGCGAACTCCACCGAAGTGAATTCATCGCCGCGATCAGTTCTCAGCACGCGGAGCTTCTTGTCGCTCTCGGCCTCCGCACGCATCTTGAACTTCTTGATCGCCGCCGCTGCTTCGTCCTTGCTCGTCAGGAGTTGGAGCCACATGTAGCGACTGCAATCATCCACGAGTAGGAGGAAGTACCGCCGACCACCGTTTGTAGCAGGCATGATCGGCCCGTAGATGTCGCCGTGGACGAGCTCGAGAGCGTCCTTCGCGCGATACTTGGTCGCCTTTGGGAACAATAGCCTCCTCTGCTTCCCGGCCAGGCAGCTGTCACACAGCTCGCCTCTGTGCTTGATGTGGGGTAGCCCTTGGACCATCTTCTCCAGCCGACCAAGCGCGTCGAAGCTGAGATGTCCGAACCGGGCATGCCACATCCATGGTTCCTCGGTGTACCTTGCCGCCAGGCACACCGACTACTCTACCTTTAGGTCGAGCAGGTACAATCGATTTAGGGACCTCTTCACCTTAGCGAGAAGTCGCTGCTCCCGGTCCCTGATCCTAAGGACTCCGTCCTTGATCAGTACCTCGCTACCGCGCTCATTCAGCTGACCAATGCCGATGATGCTGGACCGCAGCTACGGGATGTAATATACATCCGTTAGCGCGCGGTGATCCCTGTTCTGGCACCTGAATATGATGGTGTCGCGTCCTTGGATAGCCACCCTTGAGCCATCACCAAACTTCACCGTACCGGTAACATCATCGTCGAGCTCGGAGAAGGATGCCTTGGAGCCCGTCATGTGGTTGCTGGCACCAGAGTCCAAATACCACCGCTGCTCCTGGTCGGCGCCCACACGTCCGAGGTGGACTTAGGCGCGTGGTTCGTCGAGGTTGACAGTTTTCAGGGCCTTCCTAGGTCCTTCTACCGTCGTCACCTCTTCCTTCTCCTCGGCCTCGACATCGTGCAGTGCACAAAACGTCGCCATCAGGATAGTGACCTCATCCTCATCATCAGCTTGTGCCAGATGAGCCTCAGCCTTCTTTTCCTGCTTGTGGTTTGGGCACTCCCGTGCCCAATGGCCCATCTTCCCGCAGCGCCAACAGGCGTTGGGGTCGACCTGCTTCTTCTCCGAAGAAGCCCTGCCGTGGCGGTTGCCATCGCCACCCGGCTGGAGGAGGTTGCCTTCCCGGAGTTCCTCCGAGCAGCCCACTCCTCTTTCGTCAGCAGGAGTTTCCCGCTGTCCTTCGTTGTTTTCGCCTACTCCAGGCGCTCGTCCACCGCCCGCAGACGGCCTGTCACATCCTCAATGGTGAGGGTGGACAAGTCCAGCATCGTCTCTATGGAGAGAGCGATATGGATGTACTTTGCCGGCACGGAGTGGGGGTACTTGGAGACCGCCTCCTCTTCGTCGATTGTGACGCCGTGGCTCTTCAGCTTGCTGATGAGCGTTTGTAGGCGGATGGAGAAATCCTCCACTATTTCACCACCCTTGAATTTGAGGTTGACGTACTCCTGCTTTAGAAGCTGGATCGCCGCCTTCTTTGTGCGGTCGGAATCGACGAGCATCGCCGCAATAGCCTCCCATGCCTCCTTAGCAGAGCTCTTCGCCCCCAATGGCTCCCTGTACTCCGCCAGTACAGCAGCGACGATAGCCTCCAACGCTGACATGTCATCTTCCTCATTGTCGGTGCCCTTGTCAACAGCATTCCAGAGCCGTCGGGCTCTGAGCTTGACCTTCATGGTCACCGACCACTCTCCATAGTTGGTGCAAGTCAGCGTCGGCCAACTGGTGCCGCTGACCTCCCGCACCGTGCGAACAATGACCTCCGGTCGTGGCTGGGCAGCCACAACAGTGCCACTGCTGTCGCCTATCTCCGAACCGCCCGTCATCGCCAGCGGTTAGTCTAGCGACGATGCTTGTACGGCTCTGATACCACTTGTTAGCCCACAGGATCACCGACTAAGGTGAGTGAACCACTCACCGGTCTTGCCGATCACCCGCTAATGTTGCCGAACACCCACTAGCTAAGCCAACCACGAACAAGCGTTGTCCGTCCCCACACACTATGGCTAGAGGTTGAAGAAGAAGAAGAACAGAGCATACACACACAGTACAAGACACCAGCGTTAGCCGAAGCCCTATATGAAAGATGGTAAATCTGAACTCTCTTTACTGAGTTGCCGTGTATGTCTATTTATACAATTATATCCATCTAGTCCTAGTATAACGCACATGCTGTAACAGTAACTAGATAACACAGCAGGGCTGACTCTGGGCCGGTCTCTGCATGTGGCTACAGTGCTGCAGGTGAGCCGTTCGGCGCCTGCACCTGCAGCGGCTACAGTATCACAGCAGAAAGCCTTTTCGGCGCCGCCTTCCCCTTATTGTGTGTTCATACAAGGAAACAGTAGATTATTCTAACAACCAGCATGCAGATTATGGTTGCACACAAAAGAGATTTTAAGCAAACATATCAACAAACTACTAGAAGAACATAGGAGATATCTAGATGACAATTTACTTCTCATCAATTTTAGGGACATCAGTCCTACCAGCTTTCTCAACAATCACCTGAAAAACATTGATGACAAAATCAGCAATCAAGCATACATGCATAAATAATGCATGGGAAAAATGCTGAACATATCTTACCGGGATTCTATCGGGGTACTTATCCCTGGTCATGGCAGATTTGGCCTGCCTTTTTTCTGTAACAGTAAATAAGGTTCAGAACTCTAGTTAAGAGAAGGGGAAGATACTGCACAAAAAAGGCGAGAACAAATTGAAGCCAACACACGGATCTTGACTATAATCAACTAAGTGTACAAATAGGAGCATAAGTATCCTATGAATCTTCCCGGCTAGGTGCAGTAAAGAGACCCAGAACCGTTGTTGCCTGATGGGAACTTCCCCCATATTGCTATAAATATCTTCATGTCGCACGACCTCTTAACATTACACCACTGAATCCCCAATCCTTTGCTTGCTAAAAACACTAAAAAATTAGGCACAACCAAAGAAAAAAACCACAACGAAAAAGCAAAATACAAAAACACACAAAACCTCACACCGACACACAAGCCCACACACACACACATACACGGTGACAACTTCACTACCAGCATATAATTTAACTGAAAAAAAGGAGCTAGCAACACATCAAATCTAGCAAACAACTCTGAAAAAATAGCTAAAAAACTCAGCTCAACAAACAAATATTAAAAAAATATATCAACTCTAAAGAGCAGCTAGAAACATACACTCAGCTCAACTAAAATAGACAAATCACAACTCTGAAAAATACAACTATTGGCAAAAGAAAAAGGAAAAGAAAAAAGAAAAAGAAATGAAATGAAATGAAAAGCACATACAATACCAACATCAGTCATCAATTCTATAATTAGAGACCATTAAGCTAAAATACCAAACACATCAAAGCTAGCAAACACATCTATTCAGTGACCGCAGAAAAACAAAACACATCCTCCATAGTCATAGATTGCTCCAAACAAAGACACACACACACAAGCGCGCGCACACACACAATATATAGCATTGGCATGAGGCATCAGCCTAAACATGAGCGTGATGCCCTGGAAGATAAAAGAGAGAGAAAATAAATGATATGGCAGCGGTAAACTTCAATCCTTCTAGCAGCCCACAACTCTCACCTGTTTTCATTATTAGTGATCCTGTACTGAGAATTTAGCTGTAGACCAGCAGTAACATGATAAGGCTCTTCCAGTCGAAAGCAATAGGACATCAGGGCATGAGCCCGCATCTGCTAGGTACCAATGACCATTTGGGTTGCAAACCTGCAAAACAAGATAAACAGTAGGAATTAAAAAGATGAAAAAGCACTAGTGACAAGGCATAGTGACAAAGTCAGTCAAATACAAACCAGGGAAGAAAACACTAATTGACTAAACAGGAGGATGATACAAAAACAGTAGTGCATTTCACCAAAAGTAACACTAGAATCAGGCACAACTTTTTTATTTGTGTCATTCTAGATAAAGATTAGAAAAGAGTTACAGGATGAGCAACTTCACACCTCAAATCCTGAATGGTCAGAAGCAACCAATGTAACAAAACCTCTATCAACTTCAGCCATTGATAACTTGAGGCCCACCATAGGTGCCTGGCTGCTTTCGGGGTGTCCATGAGAAAATTACACCAACAATTCTAAAGCTGAAACCTCATCAGGAGGCAATGGGTTGTCATGAAGCAAATGGCTGAAAGCACTGGAAATCAAAAGAACAATTAGCTGGTAGAAAAAAGAAATAGGAACAAGAAGCCATTACAAACAGAAAAAGAAAATAAATTAACAAGAAAGAGCAATTGCATTACTCTGAACGTAAGCGAAAGGTTCCGTGCTATTGCATAGAGAGCAGCATAGGCTGCCTTACCCAAACATCTGGAAAAAAATCAGCCATGCAACCAGGTGACAATCCTCCATCATCCAGAGCCCTGTCGTAGAGTATATTAAAGCAAAGGTATTGCAGAAAGAGGACAAATTTTGAAAATGGCATTGATACAGGCATATGGTGAGTCAATACATGAACATATTTTGTATGGGAAAAAAACAATGTTAGGCACGCACACACAGACACACAGACACACACACACAAACACACGGCATAAGAAAAAAAATCCAACAAACTGCTACAACACAAACAGCTACAAAAGTTCACATGCAGCAAATGGAGCAGCAGCAACAACAAATGCAACAAAAGCTTAATCAGAAAAAAATTATAAAGAATAACGCCACAGCTCCAGACACAAAAACACGCTTACAAACACACACACAAAGAGAGACACGCACAAAAACAACAAACACACATCTGATGAAACTACGGATTAGACTGACAGTTTGCTACACACACAAAAAAAAACAAGCTTACAAAATATAACAGCTAAAAAAACTCTGCTCAACAAACAAGTCAAATATAAAAATAAAAAATTTATATCAACTCTAAAGAGCAGCTAGAAATATACACTCAGCTCAACTAAATAAACAAATCACAACTCTGAAAATTACAGCTAATGGTAAAAGAAAAATAAAAAAAGGAAAACAAAAACAAAAAGAAATAGAAAAGAATAAAGAAAAAGAAAAGCACATCTGCACAACACAGTAATAAAAATCTAAAAAATACACCTACAAAATAAAATTAGCAAGCTTTGGGGCAATCAAAAGACAAAAGAAATAAAAAACACCTTAATCAGCATCAGGAGCAAGCAGCATGAAACTGCAAAAACAACAGTACAAGCTCAATCAGCAGGCTTTGGGGCCCTCAAAAGGCAAAAGACAAATAGCAAGGACAAAAAGCTTAATCAGTAGTAGCAGCAGGCATCGGCAGCTGTCACACAGAGAAAGACAGAGAGACATACACAGAGAGATAAACATAACTCAACTCTGAAAAATATAGCTAATGCCAAAAGATAAAGCAAAAAAAGTAAAAAAAAAAACAGAGCAAACACACACGCACACAAACAAAAACGACACACACACACACAAACAGAGGGAGAGAGAGAGAGGCACACAAAAAGACACACATGCACCCACACACACAAAGAACAGACACACTCAGAAGGCAAAGGACAAAAAAAAACTACAGCTAAAAAAAATCCCACCTTCTAAGACACACATGCACCCAAACACACAAAGAACCCACACACAGACACACTCAGAAGGCAAAATACAACAACAAACTACAGCTAAAAAAAACTCCACATTCTACTCCTACTAGACAAATCAAATACTACCAACTATTCCAGCATCAGCAGCTCTAGCAGCTTCACAACTATTGAGGAGCAGCTCTAGCAGCTTAATCAATAACCACATCAATTGGCTTTGGGGCCCACAAAGGGAAAAAAAGCATATTCATCAAAGCTTTGAGGCCCTCAAAAGGCAACAAAAAAATCAATAGTTGCTGCATCTGGTTTTGGATGAATTGTTCCTCATGCATTATATTACTATAATCCGTCCACCCACATAAAAAATGCAAATTAAAATAGTTGCTGCATCTAGTAGCTCAGGGTGCATCCAAGCAAAGGACACTTTGTTACAAGTAGCACAGAAATAGCTACTTAACATGCACTAGCATTGTTGTTACAAGTGGAGCTTGCTATATATGAACTACTAGTAGTGTACATGCTCTTTCACTCTGCTTGGTGAATTGAAGTGCAAACCGTAAAGAGTTAAGCAAGAAATAGCAGATCCTAGAGACATATATGCCACAAAAGTAATAAACCAACAAGTTTGAAGACACATATGCCACATTGTTCATAGAAGAAACATATTATCCAAATTATATTTTCAAAAGAATGCAGATCCAGAGACAAAATGCCACATTAGCAAGATATACTAAAATTACATCACCAAGTACAAAAATTTAGAGTGTATACTATGATGTAAACTTAGTGCTAGTAATATATAAGTGTTGGCCTAAGCAAAAGGTAATCTTTCGCATAGATATGAAATTACCCTTTAATCATTTGTATATCGGGCTTGAGTGTACCTCAGTTGCATTCAGATAGAGCCCCATAGAAACAATTCATGCAAAAAAAAGTGTCAATGGAAAAGGACAACTCGATGAAAAATCTTACAAATACAACAGTAAAAAAATAGAGGAAAAATTGTTCACTGACAAACAGAAGAGTCAAAAAGAAAAAAAGGCGCAGCAGCACAACTGATAGGCCGAAAGCCATTCGTGGTCTTTTCTGTTTCGACACAAATCTACTCTAGTACAAGAAAAGGGTCTGACTAAACAAAGAGTCTGCAATCCATAGAATGTGCCATATTTTCTCTCTGCAATTCATAGAAGGTTAAATCACAGCAAACAAAAATCATCATGAATAATCTTATAGCCCTCACAATATTTGTCATGCCCAACAGCAACAGCAAAGCAAAAATTGATGGGCATAGAACAGAAACTGGTACTCGTATAACTATAACATCAGCAGCTCAGGGTGCCGCTCGACAAAAACTACATTCCTCCTTACGCCTAACAAAAGCATGGTATGGTACCACTAGCTATGCTACGATATCACATCAAACATGTGCAATTCAAATCTCCAAAAACTAACTGAATTGCCTGCAGGCCAACATCCAATCCACAAAGGGCACTACCAGAAACACAAAGCCCTTGGCAGCCGCTAACTTGTCCAACTCAGTAGTTAGAATCATCGACTCATCCACCAGAGCTAGCAGCACTCAGTAGTCTGAAAGGAATATTCTCAATTCTTGAGAGTTCATGAGCAGAGAAATGGCAAGAGCATTATAGTATCAGCCACCCTCACTACTCAGCATGCAGCATGATCAATCTGTAACTGGCATGAGTACAATAGTCAACCAAAAAAGTTCTTGTACACATCACTAAAGCAGGTGCGCTGGACTTCTGGAGCAGTACAGAAGGTCAGGCTGTAGACGAGTCAATCCAGTCTTCTTCAAAGAATATGCCATGCAATATTCACTTATTCAGAGCAATCGTGGTCTATTTTTAGAAGTCAAACCAGTACCAAAGCAAGCAAGGGATTACCATCGAACGGCATAGCCGCATAGGGGGATCAATTGAACACCGAAAAATTGGAGTTGAATTGCATCTACGAGTACTACTAGCCCAACACACATCGGAGGAGCATATAACCCGGCCAAAAGGATCTGGGCTTGATTCATCACAGAAACGCAAAGATCGGGAAAAGGAGAGCTAGTGCGTCGTGCGCCAAGGGCCCCTAGGCCGCCGCCCATGCCACAACCAAATCCACAGCAACAACCCCTACCGCAACCAAATCCACGGCCACAACCGGGGTTGAACCCACTGCCACAGAGTTCCTCGCAAACTACCGCAAGCCACCACAAAAAAATCTACATCTACATCTCGTGCCAAATCTATGCAGCCACCGACGACCGTGACCAACAGCACAAACACAAATAGCAATAGCTCCTCAAACAAAAGCAAAATTGACGAACAACCATAGGAAGAACAAAATACACTTACAAAATCGACCGAATGAAAGAGACTCCTCGCGGCCGTCGGCACAGGAGGCAGCGGCGCGCGAGGACACCGCTAGCCACCGCCCGCCGTGGCACAGGGGAAGCAGAACTGCCGCACCCCAGCCACCGCCCGCCGCGGCACAGGGGGAGCGGAACTGCCGCTGAAAGCTCCGCCCACCCACCGCCTGCGCGCGGCGCAACCATAGGAAAGAACGCTCGGTGGGAGATTTCGAAAAAAAGAGTTTGCGCGTTTCGGATGCTACTTTGCGGACCCGTTCGCGCTGGTGTATGCCCAAATAGCAGCACAGATCTTAAAACAAAATCAACGGTCTAGAATTTGACAGATAAAAAGCCACAAAATCTGTCGATAGAAATATAGCAAAACTCATATTTTATTTCAGATTTTTTCCACGTATAATTTAAGGATGTACTGTGTCCGAATTTAATATAAGTCCTCTTGCCTTCAAAAAAAATAATAATAATGTGGTCGAGCGTGTCGTTTTGTGTCCCAATCGCAACTTGCACCTTCCTGGGCTCCCGGCTCTTTCTCTCCCTCTCCGCGGCTCTCGCTGCGACAAGTCAACGACTGGCCGGTAGAGATGGCGGAGGCCATAGCCATATCCCTCTCTGCTAAACTCGCCGTGGCGCTGTCCCGCGACGCCGCCGTCGGCCTCGCGCCCCTGTTGGGCATTGGCTCTAAAATCTCCGCTACCGTGCGGGACCTCGATCTCCTCCGCGCCTTCCTCCGGTTCGCCGACTCCTGCCACGGCACGGACGCCCTCGCCGCTGCGTGGGTCAAGCAGGTCCACGACGCTGCCTTCGAGCTGGAGGACGTAGCGGAGGAGTGGTGCTACCTCTCCGGCCACGTCCGCGCACGGGATTGGGTCCACGTCAGGGCCTGGTTCGCCCTCTTGAAGCGGCTGCGCAAGGCACGGGACAAGCTTTCCCGCCTGTCCGCCGCCAAGGAGTAGTTCGGGATCTGCCCCGCCGACGGCCCCGCGCCTCCCACCGTCTCCATGACCAGGCAAATTCTTGCGGCAAGTTCGCACTTCGTGGAGAAAGAGGAAGTCATCGGCTTCTCCGCGCACGAGACGCAGCTACTGGGGTGGTTGGTCGAGGACTCAGTTGGAGCCACGGCGGACCCTGGTTGCCGTGTTGGGGATGGGCGGTGTCGATAAAAGATGCTCGACAGTCCACCGAGGGGTATCCCACGATGGTAAATTTGTCGTAGAGGTGAGCGAGATTAGGAGCGAGATGGTAATACAAGCACCAAGACACAAGATTTAGACAGGTTCGACCGTCAGTACGACGTAATACCTACATCATGTGTTCTGATGTATTGCATTGAGATATCGAGTAAGGGACCCCTGCCTCTCCTTATATAGTCTAGAGAGGTAGGGTTACAAAGAAAGTATCTTATTTGGTACTATACAATAGCTTGCGGTGCACGCGGAGCAGTGTCGTGCATGTCTTGATCTTGTGGGCTGGACCACCTCTGATGATGGTGCGGCCCATGTCTTGTCTTGTGGATACCGGGGGCCATACCCCCACAGCTAGTCCCCGAGCCTGACAGTAGGTGACGTAGTCACGTAGTGCCAGGATCAGAAAGTAAAAGACCAGCCGAGCAGGCAGGCAGTCCCCGGGCGTAGCCTCGAGATGAAAAGCGCACATTCACGACAAGGTGAAGTGTGCCCACTTAGCCCCCGAGCCTGCTAGAAGATGAAGAATGAATCTTGTAGCAGGGTCAAAGAAAAAGAAGTCTAAAAGCTTACCGACGTCGTCTGACATGCGCATATCAAGACCCCAGACGTGCTGCCTAAGATCAGCACCCTGATGCGAACAGCATGGAGCAGCTTGATAGCACACCGACGAAACGTAGCAAGATCCGAGCAGTAAGGGTGTCCCCGGCATCGCTGGCGATGTCCGAGCACCGAAGAGCGAGGAGTCCCCAGCATCGCTGGCGATGTCCGAGCACCGACGAGCGAGGAGTCTCCGGCATCGCTGGCGATGTCCGAGCACCAACGAGCGAGGAGTCCCCGGTGTCCCTGGCGATGCCCGAGCACCGAGGAGCGAGGAGTCCCCGGCATCGCTGGCGACGTCCGAGCACCGAGGAGCGAGGAGTCCCCGGCATCGCTCGCGATGTCGGAACACCGAAGAGCGAGGAGTTCCCAGCGTCGCTGACGATGTCCGAAAGCACCGAAGAGCGAGGGAGTCCCCTGCGTCGTTGGCGATGTTCGAACTTCAAGAGCGAGGAGTCCCCGGCGTCATTGGCGATGTCCGAACAACAAGAGCGAGGAGTCCCCGGCGTCGCTGACGATGTTCGAGCACCAAAGAGCGAGGAGTCCCCGGCGTCACTGGCGAGGTCCGAGCACCGAAGAGCGAGGAGTCCCCGGCGTCGCTGGCGACGTCCGAGCATCGAAGAGTGAGGAGTCTCCGGTGTCGCTGGCGATGTTCGATCACCGAAGAGCGAGGAATCCCCGTCGTCGCTGGCGATGTCCGAGCTCTGAAGTAGTCCCCGGCGTAGCTGGCGACGTCCGAGCACCGATGAGTTCCTGACGTCGCTAGCGATGTCCGAGCACCAAAGAGCGAGGAATCCCCGGCGTCGCTGGCGATGACTGAGCACCGAAGCAGTCCTCCGCGTAGCTGGCGACATCCAAGCACCGATGAGTTCCCGACGTCGCTAGCGATGTCCGCAAGGTGAAGTATGCCCACTTAGTCATCGAGCACGAATCATCCAGGAGGCACGGGCGTATGGAATGAATGCGCGTATGGATGTATGAAATGATTATAAAGAAATAGAGGGGGTATGTAGTGTTTACCTTGATGACTTGAGTGATGGGGTTTGGAGAGCTTTAGTCGGAAACGTCCGACCGGGACCCGTGCTCGTCATTCGTGACAGAGTCGGCATGGCCTACATGGGGCGTCCCTTCGCTTGCTACCTGTCTCTCGGTGTGTTTTTCTGAGCCGTTCGATCAACTTAGGAACCCCGATGGTCTCTCCCAGAGGAGATCCCCCTTTGGGTTTTTCCAAGTCCCGCCTAGGGATACGGAGAGCTGCCTACGTGTGGTGACATTTTGGTTTTTGCACCTGGTCGTGCGATAGTGATGGGCCATACCCAGGCCACATTTTGTCTCACCAGGCGGCGTTCCGTCTAACCCGGCGGCGTTCTGTCGGCCAGCGTGCGTCCCATCAGTCAGGGTGTGTCCCATCGTTTCCCATCCGCATTGAATGGGGGAAGGGGGAGAGTTTTTTGCTCTGATCTTTTGCCCCTCTTCGGCTGCCGCGTTTCTTCCTTAAATAGGGGGAGGGAGAGGGCTCTCCGTCGTAGTCCTTTGCCTGTTCTCCAACTATTGTCTCTCCTCCTTCCTCTTTCTCTTTAAGGGTGCCTGTATGCCACGGCGGTTCCTTAGTGAGAGAGGGGGTGAGTGAGGGGGAGGACTTACAGATCCTTTCATGAATCCAGAGCGCGATGCGAGCTGAAGGCTACCTGGGGCGGTGCTGGATTCATCTGTGAGGTCTTCTTTGGGATGGAGCCATGTGTGGACTTTCTCTGGTGGATCTTCACTGGACGAGCCTTGTCGGAGGGGAAGTCGCTCAGGATCGTGCTGGTGGAGGGTTCCACGCCTGCAGCTGCTCAGGTTGGCCAGTTCATAAAGTTTGATGAGATCTCTTCCAGCTATGGCGGCCATACCTCGGTAGTAGCATCCCTGACTAGGAGCTGCCTCGACTGCATGAGAAGGTCAGGAGCTCCATGCTCTTCTGCTGAGCATCTATGGGTGCGATGCCCTTGAGGTACCCGTTGCGCTCGCCGAAGTCGAGGGAGCGGAATCGGGTGGGTCCCTTGAGGTACCCGTTGCGCTCACTGAAGTCGAGGGAGCGAAACCGGGCGGGGCCCCAGTGGAGGTGGTTATGTCCGGTGGCGTGTGTCGTGGTTTCTCCTTTGGCATTCAGGCGATGTCGTTGAGCGGCCGCAGTAGTATTTTGGAGTAGCAGTAGAAAATGTAATAGTTGAGTTCGTGGGTGAGTCACCATGTGAACAGTTTTTTTTATCAATGAATATATCAGTATTGTTTTTTGATAGAGTCACTATCCATTCCTTGTTTTTATCCTAGCATATCTTTTGTTTTTTGTCCTTTTTTTTGTACCTGCCCATTAGTTCCGTAGGCTGTAGCTTTTCTAAGAGCCAGGGCATGGCCCGCGGGGCTCGGCTGCTCGTAACCGTAGGTCATGGCGGGGTGCCTTCTGTAACACCCTAGGTGTTTGTCACCAATTAAGCAATGGGTTTAAGCTCAAACATGGCATGTTAAGTGGTGATGAAGGTGTCAAGATCAAATCTACAAGAGTGAGCTTCAACTTCAACTTGGGCAACACACCTTTGCTTGCATATTGGCTCTTTTCAGATATATACCTAAGTAATGTTGAAGGTGCTCCTTTCATGTGCCTCACATCAATTTCTACCCACATGGATCACTGGAAAAGTTTCATGAAGTGTGGAATAAAAAAGTCACATGAAATGATAAGTTATATCCTTATTGGAATGACTTTACTAAGTGCTTGAGTTGCACTATTAAGTGAATGGAAATGTAGGTCATCAACCAAACATTGCAACCTTGCTCAAACAACTCTACTTACACTCATTAACAAAAGTTATGAAGGGTTCATGTTGAGCAGGTGGCCAGAAAATGCTCCAATAGATAAAAAAGGGTGATTTAAGCTTTATAGTGATGCTACTTTGACTTGGTTTGAACTACAGCTTAGAGTGTTTGCATGGCAGTGGAACCTAAATAAAAGTTGGAGTCCATCTTATGTAGAACAAACTTTGTTCAATGATCAAGAGCTAGATCAGCTTGGAAGCAAGTCAAACCGAGGCCCAAAGATTGAACTCAGTGCTGTTTTGAAACCTCGAAAATCGGCTAAGTCTTGGATGACTGAAATTCATGTTTGAGTTTTCGTGTACCCCACTTTGGAACCTTGTATCTCCCAAACCAGGCCTAACCAGCTCAACTTCATATAAGCAAAGTTGTAGACCTCATGTAGCTCTGAAACTTATATTAGTGAAGTTTTCGCTAATTCGCGTTGGTTTGAGAGTTTGAGGGAGCCGAAGTTTGTGTTTCAGTGGTACGTTTGCGGTAGTATTAGTTACTCCATGTCTGTGAAAGCTACGGTGCCGTGGCTGACCACATGCAGAAGAGTGACGCCGCGTGGCTCCTCTATGCTGCCTGGCTTGCCACCTCGCCCCCTCTTGTGCTTGAATGCTGAGAACGGCGCCCTCTGCTCTCTCTCACTCACTCGCCTCTCTCTTTCTCTCCTCTGTGTCTCGCTCGCCGTGGCTGACGTGAGCTGGAGCTCCATTGCCGTCGCTGCTCTCCTTGCTCCAGCCTTCCTCTCCCCGAACCAGCCACGCCGCTGCTGGCCATAGCAGGGCCGCAGCCGGCCGCTGCTGTCTGCCGCCCGGCCTCACGATGCTGTAGTGCTCGACCACGTCTACGCCACCATGGCTGACTCCCGGCAGAGCGCTCGCAGCCGCGCCCTCCTCCTGCCGCTTCTACCAGTCAAGCTATGGCCAGGAGCGGTCCATGGCTTGCCGCAGCCCCACAGCTCGCCGCGGCCTTGCAGGTCGCCACCGGCGCCGTCCTTGCCGGCCGAAACGGCGAGCTCCAGAACATCCTCTGCTGCAAATCCACGTCAAGGACTTCGCGCAAGAATTTGAAGAAAGGGAGGGATCTAACTGCGAAGTCTGTGACTCAAATGAATAGTGCTGATAAGGACCTATTTGCTATAAGTTTGCTGAATCTTTGGAAATTCATAGTAATTCATAGGAAATTCGTAAAATAGCAAATGAAGACTTTTTAGAATCCTCATGAAATTATCTATGCATTAGATCTATAATATAGCATGTTTTAGTTTCAATATTTTGCGGTAAAAATAGAATTGTGCAGTAAGGTTGTAATGCTAGTTGAATTTGTTATTT